AGGTGCTCACAAGTTTCATCATATCTACCACACAAGCAGCACCCTTTCTCAATTCTCATACCTCTACTAGTTAGTAAATCTCTAGTTTTTAGTCTACCCCGCAATACCAACCAAAAGATGAATCTATGTCGCGGGAAAATGCACCCTGCCCAAACAATATGATGCCATTCTACCTTTGGGTGTTTCACTCTTAGGAACTCATAGCAACTTGAAATAGTAAACAAACCATTCTTTGCAGGTTTCCATATAACCTTGTCCACTTGTTGAGATAGTTTTTGACATCTAATAATCTGGACAAGCATGGGATGTCTTCTCATAAAACTATCTGGAATGGTCCAATTTAAACCATCCCACCACTCACTAACTGTAAGGTCATGACCCCAAACAGCAATCTCATCCTTTGAGATCAACTCACAGAACCTTAGCTCACCTGCCCACCAATCATAGAATAGTGAAACTTGTCTTCCATCTCCCAATTGCATCCAAATGATATTTTTCAGTAGAGGACGAAGTTTTAAAACTTGCCTCCATGTCCAAGCACAATCCGTTGGGATTTTAACCTTCCAAAAATTTTCACCCCTCAACAGCACCACATGTGCCCACTTAACCCATAGCGACTCTTGATGTTGACATATATTCCAAACCAATTTTCCTAATGCTGCCTTATTCCAATGCAGCAATTGCTTCACCCCTAGTCCGCCTTCTTTTCTTGGCACACATACATCATCCCATGCTACAAGAGACATTGCATTATAATTCCATTTACCACACCAAATGAAATTTCTACAAGCAGCATCAATTAGCTTTATCACCTTCTTAGGAATCAATAAAGCACCACTCCAAAAAACTTGAATGTGGAATAAAACAGAGTTAACTAATTGAACTCTACCTGCATATGAAAGGAATTTCGTTGCCCAAAAGCCAATTCTCTGATGAATTTTATCTATAATAGGTTGACTTGCCCCAGGAGACAGCTTTTTTGAAATCAATGGCAACCCCAAATATCTAACTGGAAGCTGTCCCTCCGCAAAACCCAGCTTCTGAATTAAAGCAACTTTCTGCCCTTCTCTAACACCACTGAAGAAAACCTGACTCTTCATTCTATTCACTTCCAACCCAGAGACTCGGGCAAACTCCTCAAACTTTTGCATCATCAATACAGTGGACTCCTCATCAGCCTTACAAAAGAGCATAATGTCATTTGCAAAGATCAAGTGCGTAAGTTGCATCACTCGACACTTACTATGATATTTAAACTTCTCCTGCATATCTAACTCCTTCAATTTCCTTGTGAGATATTCCATCACTAGCACAAATAGATAAGGCGAGATTGGATCACCTTGTCGAAGCCCTCGTTTCCCTTGAAAATAACCCTTTGGCTGTCCGTTTATCAATACAGAGAATCTGGTAGTAGACACACAAAGCATAAGCCAGTAAATAAATCTATCATGGAAGTTCAGCCCTTTTAACATTGCAATAACAAACCCCCAATCCACTGAATCATATGCTTTTTGTAGATCAATTTTCATTAAGCATCTAGCTGGCCCCCTACTTCTATGGTAGTTCCTCACCAAATCTTAGCAAATCAATAAATTTGTTGTTATAGATCTGCCCTTCACAAATGCAGTTTGATTACTGCTAACCAGCATGCTCAGCACTTCATTAATCCTCTGGGTTAAGAGCTTCGATATCACCTTGTAGATGACATTACAGCAAGCTATTGGCCTATAATCACTGACAACATTTGGGCAACTCACCTTGGGAACAATAGTGATATTGGTGGCATTAATTTGCTTGAGGATTTTCCCACTATCAAAGAAATCCAACACAGCAGCCGTGACATCATTTTTAATTATTGACCAGGCTGCTCTATAGAACCCTGAAGTGAATCCATCAGGCCCTGGTGATTTGTTAGAAGGAATTGAAAATAGGGCAGTTTCCACTTCCTTAGCAGTAAATGGCCTACATAACTCTTCTGACTCTTTAGTGGTTAACACTCTGCCCCTGCGGATAACATTCATATCAACTGCTTGAACACCTTCTTTTGCCTTTCCAAACAAATTTTGATAAAACATTAAAAACTCTTGTTCTATAAGTTCAGGCTGAGTCACTCTAATTCCTTCACTGTTCAGGATAGAGTTAATAACACTTCTATGCTGCCTCTCCTTTACTTTAGCATGAAAATAAGCAGAATTAGAGTCCATCTCCTTTAGCCAAGTTACTTTAGCTCGCTGGGCAATTACGGACAGATTTGCTCTCTCAAGCTTAGTTAATTCACGTTGAAGTTCCTTTTCCTTTGCAGCCAGAGTCTCATCAAATAAAGCATTCTGCATGGAAGCTTGAACATTTTGTAGCTCTGCTGCCATATCTTTTA